TTTTTATTGCTTTCTAGTTAGTTCATTAGGATATTGTAGGGTTTGTCCCAACATCCATCTCAGTTGTTTTAGAGGCTTCATAGACAGTCAGATGTTAGTCCTTTGAGTCTTTTCATTTATCATTTTCTCATTGTTAAGACTTAGGTTGCCACTTTTTGGCCAAGTTGAATGTTTAATCTTTAAAACATTCTCAGTTATTTTATTATTCAGTTCAGTTAAGTTCATTGATCATTATAGATATGCATATTGTCTTCCGCTGAGTTAAGTAAGTCAGGCTAAGGGTTCACATGGGGCCAGCAATTATCTTCGAGTGCCAGTCCCGCCCAAGATGTAGGCTCGGGGAGTGACACCATGTCACTTAAGACAACCTACTAGGGCACATAGATATGAACAAGGAGATTGCTACTAGAGACCCGGTCTCTACTAACGAGAGAGCTTTCATCTCAATATTCTCTCGGTGCTAAGTAAAAATCCCAATGAAATATTCATATACATAAAATCATTATCATTCATGTAAAAGCACAATTAAGTTATGAATCTATGCTAGAAACATCATAGCGTAGCTCCTTAAACCATCTGTGAGAAAACCTTTCAACATTCATGATTTCTTAAGTATGTGAGAAAACCTTTAACGATTCATGCATATGTGAGAAAACCTTTCACAATTTCATTGATGCTCATCCAAAAGAAACCAAGATCATAATCAATATTTTTTCATATGTCATGCATCAGTTTATGAAACATCATTCATAGATTCCTGGCTTTCTTCAAATTCATGCAATTTAGGGTTCATAGTCAAAATCATGATCAATGCATGGATTCATATGGAATTGATTGGAAAGCATATAATTGAATATAAATAGTCATAATATGGTCAAAATCAAACAATTGAACTCATATAAATAGAATCCATCCATGAGGAATTGAATGAAAATTGTAACCAATCAAATTGAAAATGAATTGAAGAATCTTTGGGGACTCAATGGATGAACATAATCCATTGATGAACTCCATATATATATATATATATATATATATATATATATATATTGATTGAAGCCTTAAG